TTTATTCAAAAAAATGTCTTAAAATGGTTAAGGTACAATATGTAAACATAATTACAATCATTACGTTGAATGTTATAACATAAAGGTCGTTATTTTGGTTACATAATGTTTTAATTCAAATAAATGGCTTGATATACAGGGTCGCTGATATGTATGGGAACAGTCGATTATTATGTAAACTATATAAGGTACCGCAAAAAGTTAAAAACAAAAGTTATATAAGGTTTTTAAATATCTATTAGCGAGTAATAAATTTAAGTTACAGGGTCGGTCATAAAGTCGTGGCACATCAAAGTTTCATTTTTTTTAAATAGAACCCCCTGTATATTATTGCATATTTCAATTTTTCCAATTCTAAGCAAAAATCAAGATACACACAATGTACCGCAAACCAACCGTTTCTGAGTTATTTACTTTTGGAAATATCATTTAAACAATTTGATTTAATTAATTTCGATATGTTCAGTTTCATTTAACCATGCCGTTCTTCCGAGACTGTGATGATTTAATAATATAGTCCGTCTAGAAAGTATCCGGAATTTTATATTTTTCCTAATTTTAATGTATTTTTTTTCTGTAACACTCTAAGACAACAGTAATCCATCACGTAGGTTGTGCCGATAGTAGGCTATGACCAAAATCGCATGGCAACACCATCTGTCAAATATTGTTGATTGTAAACCGGCTTAAGGTTTGAGAAATAATGTCGCAAGTAAAAAAAAAGAGAAATAGTGGAATATTTGTATAGAAAAGGTGTTCGAAACGTTAAAAAATTAATGCAATTGACTGAACTCGGAAAAAGTGCAGTATATGAGACAATAAAGAGGATAAAAAATGGCACAGATATGAAACATGGACCAGTTTCAGGAAGACCGCGTAAAATTCGCGAAAACAATTTAAACGGTTTAGTGGCATTAGAGGTGGCCAGCCGTAGCCCCAGCGTTAAGGATGCTTCACGCTACACCGTAACGGGTCCGGGCCGTGCGTCGGTGAAGACACGGCCAAACATTGTCAAGTATTCTTTACACATATACATTCATGCCAGGCCGAGCACGATCCGAGCTTCGCCGGAACTCGTCCGTGCCCCGTCCCAGAAATGTCGGCGTACATTTTTTTCTCGGATCCGCTCCGTTCCCGCCACGTTGCGGAAAGCATATATGTACTTTTCCTGGTCCCTGACTGCAATCTGCAGTCATGGTATAGACAAAGTACACTTTTTATCATGTCTGTAGTAGGTAGTGAATCTTACAGCAGTATTTAATGACAGGGAATGCATAAAACTGGACAATGAAAGGATGTAATGTAAAAGATAGGTCCTTCATCTTTCCCTTTGAGCAGGTGTTGTTCTTTCTTCATCAACTGTAATTGGTACCAATTCCACTTGCGAGAACTTTGGCATTGTTCGTATTAAATCTTCGTGTGTCTATGGGGCTGTGTTTTATAATATACTCAGAACTAATACGAGCCCCGTTATCAACTCGGTGTAGCATAAACAGAAGGCCCGGACGTGGCTCGGTGTCTACTTCACGAAACGTGCCCGGCTCGGGTACGGTCCGGTGTACCGTGAATCATCCTTTAGGATGCTTCACGCTATACCGTAACGGGTCCGAGCCGTGCGTCGGTAAAGACACGGCCAAACATTGTCAAGTGTTCTTTATACATAAGGATGATTCACGCTATACCGTAACGGGTCCGAGTCGTGCGTCGGTGAAGACATGGCCAAACATTGTCAAGTGTTATTTACACATATACATTCATGCCAGGCCGAGCACGATCCGAGCTTCGCCGGAACTCGTCCGTGCCCCGTCACAGAAATGTCGGTGTACATTTTTTTCTCGAATCCGCTTCGTTCCCGCCACGTTGCGGAAAGCATATATGTACTTTTCCTGGTCCCCGACTGCAATCTGCGGTCATGGTATAGACAAAGTACACCTTTTATCATGTCTGTAGTAGGTAGTGAATCTTACAGCAGTATTTGACGACAGGGTATGCGTAAAACTGGATAATGAAAGGATGTAATGAACAAGATAGATCCTTCATCTTTTCCTTTGAGCAGGTCCCTGCAGGCATTGTTCTTTATTCATCAGCTGCAATTGGTACCAATTCCAACTGCGAGAACTTTGGCATTGTTCGTATTAAATCTTCGTGTGTCTATGGGGCTGTGTTTTCTAATATACTCGGAACTAATACGAACCCCGTTATCAACTCGGTGTTGCATATACAGAAGGATCGGACGTGGCTCGGTGTCTACTTCACGGAACGTGCCCGGCTCGAGCACGGTCCGGTGTACTGTGAATCATCCTTTAGTGTGTCGATCTGCGGAGCGGAAGGTACTGGGTTCGATCCCCAGCCAGTACGGTCGCTTTATTTATTTAAATAAAAATATTTATCTAAATAGAGCGACCAACAAGCCGCCACCTCAAGGAAGGCAATGGCAAACCACCTTGAGTGTATTTGCCTTGTACAGCCTCTCAAATAATGCCTTTCGGATTCGGCAACAAACTGTAGGTCCCGTGTACTTGTGAAACACTGATGACACACATCACAAGTACATGCGAGAGGTAGCCAACGCTCTATACAGAGTATGGCACTTTAAGAAGTAAGAAGTGGCATTAGGATGACAGAATCCGCGCCTATGGTTTCGCAAATTTGCTAACAGATTTGGAAGTCAACGAAAATTAAAAGTGTGTCCAGAAACCGTCGGCATGTCACTGAAAAGACAAGGCTACATATCAAGGAAGCCAAAAAAAATCCCTGCAATAACACCTCTACAAAGGCAGCGAAGAATGGATTTTTGTCAACGTTTTCAAGAAGATAATTTTAATAATGTTTTTATTTCTGACGAAAGTAGTTTCCAGCTTGGTGGAAACCACCTAAAAATCCTATCAAAAGAAAATGTTACCGTTCAAGTTTCAAAATTTCCCACCAAAATAATGGTTTGGGGAGCAATATCTCAGCGTGGTATACCTCTGTGTATAGTTGATGGAACTGTTAATAGTGCAAAATATTGTGATATTTTAAATGGTTTTCTTCAGAGGGGTGGCGTTTTCAGCAGGATAATGCAAGATGCCATATACGTCTGCCTATACTCAAACTGGGATGCAAGAACACCATTTAGCAACAATTCCATAGCCAACAGCTCCACCAGACCTTAGTCCCATTGAAAACATATGGGGACTAATGAAGATTGAAGTGGAACTTGCTGCTCCACGAAATAAACAAGATTTGATTCGCTCAGTTTTACAGGCCTGGACTACCGCCACTGAACATTATAGTGTGGACCTTATAGTTTCGGGTGGACCTGAATGCATTATAGTTACTTGTGTAATGTTTTTATAGGCATTTGCATCTTTAACGTTTCGAGGTTGGTCAATGTTGTTTGATGTATTTTTTAAGCTACCTATGTGTTTTCTTTTTTTTTTTCGCTTGTGTTCATGTTTACTTTCTCATGACTTAATAATTTCATATTATATTCACTTAAAACTCAATTTTTTATTGGTTTTACTTTACTAACCTAACCATTCCTTGCTTGCTAATTGACGAACACAACAATCATTGAACGAAAATATTTTAGTACGGTTCCGGAAACTCTAATTAATACTACCAATTAGGGTTCAGGTCTTTTTGGCCACCACAGAATCGGACCTCAGTAACAATAATTAAAAATTTATTTTTTTGTTACGTAAAATAGTCTTTTAATACGTTCTAGCGATCGAAATCAAACTCTTCTAAATAAGTAATGATGCTATTTCTTACTGTTTTTGCTTCTTTTCTCTTTTGAAGTTCCTATAATATTTATTATGATTTGTTATAATGTGACAAAAACTTTCCTTTTATTGAAAATTTAAGTCAAAAATATTGCGAACGGCTACTCTTATATCGGAGGCAGTGGGAACAAGCTTTTTCTTCTGCACTTGACTAAATATATGATACCCACCTTACACTGCATACCAAAGGGCGCCACTTATTTCAAAAAGATGCTAATACTTACAAAGGAAGGTACAAACTGAAATAAGAAAATTTGTACAAGTGTATTAATTGAATAGAAACTAAAATTAGTATAGCTATTAAATATTTTGAGAGACCGGATCAACCAATGAAACAATTCAAATACCCAAAAAATAAGATTTATTTCTTGTTAGAAATTATTCGGTACCTATTCGGCACAGCAGTTATATACATTAATATATAAGAATTATATTTAAGAAACTGTATCTTAAAACTTGTTTAAAATCAAATTATGTCTGTTCAGATATTATTCAAACAATTATAATATAAAAAGAATACTTTTAGAGACGGCCTTGGTTTTATTCGAATATTAAATATCTAAATTTTAATTGACTTATTACGAAGATTCATGAACCTTTTTGTTTATATATAGTTAAGGGAAAAAGTTTAAAAGCTGTATCCAAGATTGCCCTTACAGGTCAAAGATCGTAATGATATAAAAGGTTAACATAAATAGATGTTAAATCCGAATAATCAATCAATATAACATGGTTATTTTAATAATCAAATACAAGTGAAATTTAAGCAATGCTGAAGGCAAATACTTAAGTGTTAAAAAAAATATATAAAATGTAACAGAATGTTAAATTTTATAAATTAAGGGTTAAAGTAATGCTGAAGGCAAGTACTTAACCAGTTAAATGTAAGAATAGTTAATTTCTTAACGCACTAATGATTATTTAAAATCCAATTAATAAAATTTTAGTTTACTATAAAAAATATACTGGCCTTGTATACCAAATTATACTAAAAAAGGATCTTCTTAATGATAAAAAAACATCACAGCATCCAACTTCTTCTCAGAGGGGTACAGGGCTGAAATCTAACCGAACAGGCTGCTACTGATTAACTCGGTGATTGAAAATCTCGAAGAAAAACTTGTGGAAAAACTTGGCGAAAAACTTCTAGACACAAGTGTAGAAAAACTGTAGAAAAACTGTAGAAAAACGTCTAGAAAAATGTCTAGAAATACTTGTAGAAAAATCCAAAGAAAAACGTTGAGAAAAATACGTAGAAAAATCTGTAGAAAAACCTAAAAAGAAATGCACGGTATTAGTTAACCTTACATTAAAAAAACTCGAAAAATTTACGAAGGTATTAATTTACCTCATTGTGAAGGCACACAATCAATAATTATTTAACATTTCTTCTCAAATAAGGGCTGGACACTTCTCATCAAAAAACTGGAATCTAAAAGAATGGCATGTGAAGGTTTTTTCTAACGAATGGAATGTCAAAGAAAATCTTACCAAAACTATAGATCCACTAAAATCTCAATAATCAAAAGCTATATGGGACCTTCAACCATCTATAAGATAACAAAATCACAATATTTTTTCCATATTGTGGAAAATACCAGCCAAATAAATTTAATTCTCAAAATGGCACAGTGACCTCGACAACGGCCAAATCCGAGGTGACGATTTTGATGTTTCCCGTCTTGTCGATACACCAGATTTTCCTACACCAGATACACCATTTTCGATAGAGAGCGTTCCGAAATTTAAGTGTTGTAGAAATGTAAAAAGAATATCGATACAATAATAAAATACCGTCTATAATAAAACAAAGTAGCATTTGGAAAATGAAAATGCTACAATAATAGATATTTGCATTTTTAATTGAATATTTTAGGGTTTTTGTCTCAAATTCAGTCAAGTTGGTTTATGTTGTTTAATGTGAAATTTTAATTACCTATACTTTTTTCTTTACTTTTTTCATGCCTGTGTTCATGTTAATTTTTTCATGACTGATTACTTTAATAATTTGATATTATTTTTATTAAAAATCTCAATTTTTTATCCATTTTACTTTGATAAACCTTGCTTTCTGATTGATGAACTGCACCACCATTGAACTAAAATTAGTCAGTACCGAAAGTACCGAAAGAAACGGGAAATCCCGGTTCCTAAGAGGCGCAGTACGGAAAATCCCGGTTCCGAAAAACAGCTTCGGTTCCGGAAACCCTACAATGGGCATATAACATGAAAAAATAACAAGATATGGTTTATTACCGAATTTGTAGAATCGCTCTGTATAAAAATTTATTGAAAACATAAGTCATAAAACATTTTTTTTTGTTTATTACTAATTGTGTTTTTGTTTGTTTTAGATTTGACATGTTGTTCGCACACAACAGGCACGTGCAAAAGCGTATGTGGAAATGTAAGTAATAACCAACTCTTTTCTAGAAGAAATATCTAAAAATTTATACCGAAAGAATAAAAAAATAATGTTCCAGTCCAAGGAGAGTTATAAGTAGAATTTGGCGACAGCAAAATCTGGCTGGCAGCCAACTATTCGTATATTTCCATGCATCGCGGAGGATCTGTATGTCTTTAACCTCCGACAAAACTTAATTCAGATTTATTACTGAAACGTAGAGTTGATGTGATTTTATAGAAATATCTATAAAATATGAGAGAAAGTAATGAAAAGATATACTAAACAGCTATCAACATGAATTAAATTTTCAGAATAATTCCAATTCTTATTATAAAAAAATTCTGTATCTACAAAAATAAATAATTTTTCTATACCAACTCTTCCGATGAAGTTCCATATCAGGTTTTCTATCTGAGATTTTTACTCCAAACTTTTTTACAAAATATGGTAGTAGTAGACAGCCTACAGTTTTTAGAAATATTTTTACAAAAAAATGTATATTTTTTTGTATAATATCGATTGCTCTATATTCCCATTCTATAAATATAATTATCAATATCTACAGGGTATTTCAAAAAACATGTGCCATCTCTCGGGGGACACTCCTCACGTAAAAATAAGGTTTATTTTTCATATCACCATAGGTCCGATTCTACTTTATTTCGTAGCTACAGGGCGTTAAAGTCTTACTATTTTTGCATTTATTATAATTCTTCCAAGTAGGTACTTTAAGCGTTTCGAATGAAATTTTGAGAATAAAAGTTACTATAAATGCGACATATGTTAAAGCTATAAGAGAGTCGACATATTCACCAGAGACGTGCATATGGGTTATTACTGGAATATTTTCCTAAAAAAAGCATGTACGCTACTGACTTTTTTCTCGTTAGCGAAATAGTGCAAGCAGTTTAATGGCGATTAAAAATTCTCTCGATATTTTGTCGATTTCAGCCTCCTTGATGAGATAAACGCAATTTTATTAATTTGCCTTGATCCAAGTCTATACAGGGTGGCCCATCGAAAACTTTCCGCAAGGCATAACGGCCAGAGTAATTTTTTTTTCAGAAAATTCAAAAACACGTCAATTTTGTTTGTGAGGGGGATAACTTTTGCCCCAAAAATTATTGCAAAATCTTGAACACTCTAAGCGGGGGTGTCATCCCCAGATTTTTTTCAAATGGGAAGGGGGGTCAAGTGGTACCGCAATGAAAAGGGCTTTCTATTCTCTATACTTTTCTGCTTCGTTTTTGAAGATCGGTCGAGTCGTTGGGAAAATATGAAGGATTGAAATTTGAAAAATTTATTTAAACATTTATCAGAGTAAATGATAATTAAGGATAAATTCGACCAATTGGTACCGCAATGAAAAGGGCTTTCTATTCTCTATACTTTCCTGCTTCGTTTTTGAAGATCGGTCGAGTCGTTGGGAAAATATGAAGGATTGAAATTTGAAAAATTTATTTAAACATTTATCAGAGTAAATGATAATTAAGGATAAATTCGACCAATTGGTACCGCAATGAAAAGGGCTTTCTATTCTCTATACTTTCCTGCTTCGTTTTTGAAGATCGGTCGAGTCGTTGGGAAAATATGAAGGATTGAAATTTGAAAAATTTATTTAAACATTTATCAGAGTAAATGATAAGGATAAATTCCTTCGACCAATTTGCTGTTTTTTCTTATTATTTCTAGATATTTGAAATCGGATTGCGCAGATATTGAATGAACGCCATCCTGACAAACACCTTTATGGCAAAATTGTTCGCCAGTTAGTAGCAAAATTTCGCGAAACTGGTTCCGTTATGAATAAAACGACGCAGAGGGAAAATCCTGTAGTAAATGAAGCTATGGAGGTATTCGTATTGGGCCAAGTTGCCATGGATAGTATTCTGAGTACAAGAAAATTATCCAATAAGACCGGCGGGAATCGTACAAGTTTCCAAAGGACATTAAAAGAACACAAGTTCCACCCGTACAAAATTCAGTTGGTACAACCCCAGGGTTTTTCACAAGGTGCACACACAAAACCCTCAGAAATTGAACGTGTGGGCTGGTATTTTTGGAAATTCTATTGTAGGTCAGTTTAACGATATTGAGAAGAACTTCAACGTACAAGTCACAGAACAGCTATCTAGCAACTACCGCATCTGATCGTTCAACGTTGTGGCAAGTGAAAAAATGCGTAAACATCTAGAAATAATAAGAAAAAACAGCAAATTGGTCGAATTTATCCTTAATTATCATTTACTCTGATAAATGCTTAAATAAACTTTTCAAATTTCAATCCTTCATATTTTCTCAATGACTCGACCGATTTTCAAAAACAAAGCGGGGAAATATATGGAATAGAAAGCTCTTTTCATTGCGGTGCCACTTGACCCCCCTTTCCATTTGAAAAAAGTTGGGGGATGACACCCCCGCTTAGAGGGTTGAATATTTTGCAATAATTTTTGGGGCAAAAGTTGTCCCCCTCACAAACAAAATTGAGATGTTTTTGGATTTTTTGAAAAAATAAATACCCTGGCCGTTATGCCTTGCCGAACGTTTTCGATGGGCCACCCTATATACATATAGCAACCTTTAAAAAAATTGAATATCATTATAACTTGCGAAAGTTTTAAATATTACTCATTGATTTCTCATCAAAAAATATGAAAAAAAGTTCCTATAAGCATGGGTATGGAAATGCATAGTTTTAGAATTACAGGATGTTAAAACATTAAAATTAGTTTTTTTGTAAATATCTTAAATAATATTATTTTTTTATTTGAAATTGCTGTAGGTTGGATTAGTAGTTTTAATAACTAATGATAATAAGATTTAATAATAAATTAGGTAAAATATATAATTTATTAATTTTATTTTTTATTTTAATTTTATTAAATGTGATTAATAAAATTGCGTTTATCTCACCAAAGAGGCTGAATTCGACAAAATATCAAGAGATAACTTTTAATTGGCATTAAACGGCCTACACAATTTTGATATCAAAAGAAAAAAGTCAGTGGCGCACATGTTTTTTTTTGAAAAATATTCCAGTGATAACCCTACACGTCCCTGATGAATTTATCGACACTTTTTTAGTATTAAAATATGTAGCACTTATAGTAACTTTTACCCTAAAAATTTCATTCGAATCACTAAAAGTACTTGGAAGAAAATTATAATAAATCGAAAGATTATTAAGACTTTGACACCCTGTAGTTAGGAAACAAAGCAGAATCGAACATATGTTGATACAAAAAATAAATCTTATTTTTACATGAGAAATCTCCCCACTAGAGATGGCACATGGTTTTTGAAACACCCTGTATATCATCTTATATTTTGCTTGTTAAAATATGTTTAAATTGGTTTAAATTAGTGTTTACGGTACTAAAACTAAAATTATTGTTATGTTTTTTTATTTTTCCTTTGCTTGTTATAATTATTATATAAATAGTTAATATGATAATGTTTAATACTTTAATTTATATTTAAAAAAGTTTAATTGTCTATTAACGACTTCTCTCAGGGTACGGGGTGCAATTCTCTTTCTTTGTCACTGTTTAAATATTCAAGCGACACGTTCTACAGGAACTTCGCTATTTCCGGCCAGTTTTATTTTAAAAACAATATACGTGTGGAATTGAAATAGTCGTTTGTCAAGTCAACGTTATTATTTAATAGAGTTTACGATTATCTTCATTGCAGGAACTCCACCCACGTTCAGATTTTATATGTGAGTTGTGAAGAGAATTATTTTAGTATTGTATTATGTGAATATTTTAAATCAAAACTTATGACGATGATGAACTTCCATTCTTTATATAATTATTTTATGATTTACCCAATTACGGCGTTTCAGATAATTTTATCACACTTACCTTACGCTACACAGTTTATCCCCCGCTGGTAGTTACTCAGACTCAGACTTAAAAAACAAATTCATCCATAATATTGTGCTACAAGAACTCGATGGTTTTCTTTAGAGTTTTTAAGTCATTTGTATTTCAAGGATTGGTTGGGTGAAATTGGGTATTTAAGTACAATCAGGTATTCAGTACAATATTTGGTTTTTAAAACCAAATATTGTACTGAAAAGTATTTCTATTTACTAAATTTTGTGTTGCAATAATAAAAATTATACTACCTTACACAGAGTATCTAAAAATTTATTTTAAATAATTACTAGCTTTAAACGGCAATAAGTTGTTTAATTTAAAAGGAACACCCTATAAATTTTATGAAAATCAGATGCACAATTTAATTGTCTATCAAATTGTATTATACCATCTCTTCACGTTTTCGTAGAAAATGCATTTTCTTATTATTTAAGCCTCATTACCCATGGAATATTGGCATTTTAGATTATTTTTAAAGATGTAACAAACTTTTAAAGAGTACAGATACGAATATTGTCGATATAATTCGTTTATTTCATTAAAAAATAAACAAAAACTGTTTAAATGTTTGTTAAAGAGGACCAATTTAATATGATTCCAGTATTCAAACTACAATACATTAATTGACTGTTTGTATTGATTAATAATAATTGCTCCAACTACTAAAAAACTGAATTTTGTATGTGTATTAGACAGTGTGGTAAAAAGTAACATCTTAAAAATGTTATTTCATTTTTTGACGAATACTTATTTATAACAACAGAGATGTTATTATAACATTATTATATTGATTTCTGATTCAAATCCACATTTATTTAGAATATTTTATTAACTAACACAATTAAATATATTATGTAATTAATTAATATTTGGGTGGAAATAATGCTGGTAATATTTAATTAACGGCCTGAGGATGGGGTTTGATTCCCGAAACATGTTGCTCCCCCCTTATTTAAATAGTAAAAATTTAAAATAATTTTTTATACAATACTGTGAGTTTGAGTCTCCTTTCCTTCAGTAGAGGATTCAGTCGCTGAAGGTTTACTGAGAAAATAATTGCTTACCATTTCTAGCTATTAAATTAGACAGTCAAGTAAAAAATATCACTTTACAAAA